AAAGAGGCTTGGCAGAGACCATAAGTAGAGGAAGTGCGAATGTGGTTTCGCAGACAATGACGGTGAACCCTGTTTTGGCAACATGGTTTTGGCAACATGGTGTTGCCGTGGCACCTGCCATGTTTATACAAATTTGCAAAAAGCAAATAAAGCAATTGGTAGGCCCTCCATCCTGGGAGGGTGAAAGACGTTGAAGGCGGGATGACCGTCTTGGATTATTCATCATCTCTGTAAATAATACAGAGGGTAATAATTAAAATGGAAATAATAATAAATAAAGGAAAAATGTGTAGAAATGAAACTTGCGGATAAATTTGCGTGAATAAAAATAGCTTCAAATAGTAAGAAGAGTTTGATATGAATGACATATACGTTTAAAATGAGCAGATAGAAGGGTAAATACGTGTTATATTTACACCGAGTCATGATCGACAGGACAAACAATTGCTCTCAATCATACTAAGGATGCGGTAAAATTAATATTCCACCGTTAAAAATATTTGAATTTTATTGGATATATACCTACGCCGCGTCCCCACATGGGGACGCTATAATTTCCAATATAACTAGCAGAGTTTCTAGCATCAGTACAGAAGTTGATTCCTCCAGTTAGAAGAAGCAACCAGAAGAAGAAACCAGAAGTAGCAAGAAGTGAAAGTCACCGACAACAATAACGCAAGTGTTTGTATGCATAGAAATGTAGAAGAATGGTTTATTCTTTTGACGCTTTAGAAAGTATATCCTCTGAGAATTGGTAGTGTGCATGTTATTAGGTATTCAAATTTCTGTTACTTTTAAGTTGCGTGTACATAATCAATGTTGTTGTTGTTAATTTATATACCGTTATCCACTTATTACCGGCGCGTGTGCATAATCGTTCTTGATAAATTATATGCCGTTATTTCACTTTATCGCGCATGTTCACATGAATAGTCAATGTTGTTGTTGTTAAATTATAAGGGTAAAAGAACATTTGTGGAAGAGTTTGGTGACGATGATGTCTCCGACGAACTGATGACAAGGATTAGAAGTCTGTATGATAACCCTACTCCAGACAATGTGTTGGATGAAGATATGGTTGAATTGAGAGAAGAATTGGACAGAGAGTCATCGCCCCTGTTTCAATTCGACTTTCAACCAGTTGGACAACCTAAAAAAGCCCTCAATATCATACAAAAACAACGCAGAGTATCACAAAAGAAACAGCTGCGTCCCGCAACAAGAAATGACGATATTGGGCAGGAAATTACACGCGGCGTGGCTGACATGGCGCGTCGTGTGATTGAAAAATCCAAATCGCCCCAAGGAAATGAGTTGAAAGACAATGACAAGGTCACATTTAATTTCTTCACCAAGAAGTTTAGCCATCCTCTGCAGTCAGCTATATTCACCGTGGCTGAAATCGCCAATGACAGCTCGCAATTTGAGACATACATGCAGATGTTGGCTAATCAACTGAATTCCAACAAGAGTTTTGACATCGACAATGAGTTTCAAGCCGACATGACCATCATTTGCGAACCCAATGCCGGCAGAAAAACCAACCTCTCCATCCTGGGGAAATTAAACATGACCACGGTCCTTCACCATAAACATTCCATATTGCCCTTCAAGAATTCAGAAGACAACCTCTGTCTGGCCAGAGCCATCTGTATCACCAAAGCACATTTCCACAAGGACGATGACAGAAAGAGCTACAACAAATACAAAAATCTTCAAAAGCGTCCATTGACACTCATGCGGTGTGCCAAAAACCTACACCGTGAAGCTGGTGTTCCTGAACGTGACTGTGGTCAAGAGGAATTGAAGAAATTCCAAGAATACCTAGTCCCCGACTATAGGCTGAAAGTCATGAGCGTCACATACCCATATTGTATCACCTTCAAGGGCCCCAGCTCAGCACCTTTAGTTCTTCATCTTCTGTTTCAATCAGGCCCGGAGGGAGGAAACGGTCATTACCACAGTTGTACATCATATTCTGCATTCCTTGAGAGGAGTTATTTTTACGAAGAATGCAACCGTGGTTTTAATACCAACGAATTCCGACACCACCCATGCGAAGGAAGGAGATGTAAAGCTTGCAAGACCATCGAGTGTGGCCCTAAATCGAATCACCCTTCACTACTCTGCACCCACTGCAATCGGTATTTCTACGGCAATTGCTGCATGTCACTCCATCGTAGCCAGGGTTTGTGCGCTTTGTGGATTCGATGTGTGATTTGCTGCAAAGAATTCAAACCCGACAAGAAAGAGTCACATTGATGTTACTGGAGTGAATG